GCAAGGAGGAACCCGACAGCGGCGCCATCACGGGAGTCAGTAGGAAGGTGTCGGATGGGGCGGGAGCAGGAAAAAAAGGCTTCATGGCTTCTCAAAAGCACGGCGGAAGAGGAGGAGGAGGCAGGGGTAATGTGGTGCCCAGCTCAGGTGGTCCGAGCTGAGGAGGAGGCACCACCACCACTGCCATGGGTGAGGGCACCAGCGGGAGCTTTGGCGGCTTCATCTCAGCCGCAGTGGCAGACAGCAAATGCGGTGGTGCTGTTGGAGGAGGCGGCAGCAGTTATTCTGGTGGCAGTGGGGGCTCGTCAGCATCTTCAGCGATGGCCCTGCCCCTGGTGAAAAAAACGAAGATGGAGCAGATCCAGGCTGATGATGTCACCACAGCTGCCAGGTCCGGACGGAGGTAGCCAGAGCGGTGCTGAGACGAAAGAGCAACATGACTGGAGGAGGAATTCTGGGAGTTGAAGTCCACAAGTCTTAAAGCTGTCAGGTTTGAAGACCCTTAGGTTTTTTTCCCTAAAGGGTTAGGGATGCAAGGATCTTGTAACTTGACAGCTTTAAGACTTGCACACTTCAATGCCAGAGTTCCTGAGCCAACATTTTGGTTGCTAAATAGGAGCATGGTTAAGTGATACTGATATTATATAGCACGTTTAATTAAGCAGGTATCTTGAATAAACATAACTTTGAGTTTCAAATAATACTGATTTTGTGGTTGTCTTAGGTGACATCTGTGAAAAACATTCAGGTGCTCAGGAATGAAAATGTGCCACTTAAACACTATACTTTTCTGCCCACACTGAAAAAAATTTAGAGGGAACATTGTCCTCAACAGCCTGCACCTGTCTTCAACAGGGAATGGACACAGGGCAGAAAACTTCCTGTAGCCAAGAAAACTCCACACTCATTTACACTACTCAGGTGACCCTGAGAACACAGATAAACCCCCCAGTGGCCTCAATGACCCACTAAAAGAATTCAAATGACCAGCTGTCTGCAAGGAATGTAAATCCTTCCATTCTCCACCATCCAGTCAGAGCCGAAGAAGCTTCTTGGATGAGAAGTGAAACGTCTTCAAAAGAAAAGACAAGAAAGTGCAGTTGCCTCCTGAAAAAGCACCATTAGGATTTCTCTATTGCTCAGTTCCCAAGACTCCATGATTTCTTGTGAGGGAGATATTATATAGATATGGAAAATTGGAGGGATGATAGAAGGTGGTGGAAGTTCTTTGTATAATAGGTGCAGCTGATCTCTCTCTCTCTCCTTCA